ATATATATATATTCTCAAATTGAATGAAATAGATGAAGGCCATTTTGTTAACATGAAGATGGCAAAAGTCTAGAGATGTAAGAAATTCTAGCTTGGATCTTAAGATGCACACAAAAATGGAGAAATGATGAAAATGACATATATTATGTTAATGTTGTATGTGTACAACAATAATCAACTTGAGGTAGAAGAAAATCATTTTTATAGAATTGTGGTTAAAATTAACAAAGATGTAAATTATTCTAAATATGTAAATGAGATTTATAATAAAAGTAAAGTATTTTTGTTTAAGATGTTTGAGAGAGACTATAAAGAACAAGACACACATTTCTGACAAAATTATTATAGATTTAGAAAATTTTGAGGTTAAGATGGATGATGAGGATCATGCAATCAACATTTTAAATTCATTATCTAAATTTAATTATGCTTTATTGAGGCTTTGAAATATGCTTGGAAAATCATATCATTGAAAGAGGTTCAAACAACTACGAATTCTAACAAAATATAAATAAAATTAGAAAAGAATTAGAAAAAAAAAATCAAGTCTTTGTCCAAGTCAAACACAAAATTTAAATCTTTTATGTCGCAAGAAAATACATTACAAGAAAAATTAGCCTCAATATAATATGAAAGAGATGGGGGGAAAAGCATGAGTTTAGGGATATTTTTACGAAGACTTGAACTCTTACTCATCAAGGTATTGTCCGCTTTGGCTAAATAGACTCACAGGTTTGCCCTGTTGATGTAACTTCCTAGGAGGTCACCCATTCTAGGAGTGCTTCAGTATGAGCATACTTAACTTTGGAGTTTCTAATAAAATTTCATGGTTACACCAAAAGTTGTCTCGATGTTTAAAAGTTCAGCTTCATTCAACTTGAGAGATTTCACAACTTCAATGGCATCATATGTACATATGGATTTCTAAGTATTTGAAAGTTGCTACTTATTCCATTGTTGATGATTGGGTGATTAGTTTAGAACATTTGTTTCATTTGACTCTCAATAGACAATGGTAAGAATCATACAAAAATTCAGTTTTGGTGAGGTTATGATATGATACAATGTTATTTGTAGGTCATTGGAATCAAATTAATCAAAGCCAAAATAAAAGATAGAGAAATTAGCATTTTTATTCAAGTAAAATATAGGCCACAACTTAAAATAATCTTTTTTTTTTCCTTTCGACCTGTTAGAAGAGTTAGATTGCAATTTTAAAGCTCTTCCTTGGAATAAAATCCACTAAATTTTACAAGCACACATCAATCCATTAATTATCAAGCATAAATAATTTATATTATTTTACAATAATAGAACTATTTATTTCTCTATCAATTGCATAATCAAAATATATAGCTACTACTAAGGCTATAAAAGATAGCAATTAGCTTAAATGATAGTTTAACAAGCTAAAGAACAAGATTAAGAAAATCATAATCTTGTGCCACAATTAAAGTGCAATTTAACCAATGAAGGACTAAATATTTCATTAAAAAATATAATCATATTGACATATGAATATATATTATCAAGGTAATATTTAAAACCAAATTTCAAAATCAATTGACTTTGCTTCTAAGTTGAGAGATCTACTTATGAAAGAGGAGGGGTTGGGAGGAAGAATTACTAAAATACTTTTAAGTCTTTTGCTTCAAGCTAAAGGTTTGTGCAATAATTGAACAAAATCATAGATCTAGTATACATTAGACTACTTAGTTTTTACTTCTTTTCGTTAGCTGTGTTAGCCAATCTTATATTCTCTATAGTAACTTTTATGCGACTAATTGAATGAAGACATATTATGAATCAAGAAGAAAGAGGGAGAATATTATGTGCATAGTCCAGATGCATATGAGGTGTGTACAATTTTGTCATACACTAGGGGTGTAAACACTTTGAGCTCAAGCTCGGCTCGTATCGGTAGCAGCTGGCTTGCGATCTCAAACTAAAAACTCAATTTTTACGGGAGCTCGTTGGAGAAAGTATCAGTGGCTGAAGGAAAAGGCACCAAGGGCTCATCAGAAAATGTACTGAAATGACTAGTGGTAAACTAATCAGAACGGCTCGTGAGCGAACGAGCTGAGTCGGGAAGAGCTCGAGCTCATGGCTCGGTAAGCTCAGCTTGTGAGCTCGTTAACGAGCCGAGCTCGAGTCGTTTTGCAAGCTAGGCACAATCGAAAGCTGGCTCGACTCATTTGCACCCCTATTGTACAAGTTGTGCACAAACACATTTGAGTACAACATGTACAACAATGTTGTATACGTAGTTCGGATTCCAGATGAATTCTGGACACCACATGTAATATGTTTCCAAAAAAAAGGAGGTAGAAGAAAGAGAGAGAGAGACTATGAAGAATATGAATCATAATAAAATTTTGATCACCAATCTTGAAGCAACAACAAAAAGAGTATTTCTGCTATAAAATACCATAGAAATCAAACTCAAATCTGATCATTAAAATTGGCAAATAAAATCCATGCTCTAGAGCCCCAGATGAGATCACAGACAGTTTTAAGTTTTTTTAAAAAAAGAAGAAAATATTTATACAATAATGTTCAAAAGTACCCCAAATTCAACTTCCGGAGTTGCAGATAAAAAAATAAGCAACGAAAATCTCCCATGACAGCAAAACAGCTGCAAATCCTCCTTAGAATAATGACCTGGCCGGAGAAACAAAAATGGAACAATATCAAATTTTTATTCACAGTAAAGATCTTGCAGGAGAGAGCAGACATCTAACTCACCAGTTAGATCAAATCTGGTCACTTTGAGCCCTTCTTCCACAATCCGCCAATCTTCATCAGCATATTGCCATTCTTCCTCTTGGGAGATTCATCATCCAAGTCGTCGGAGAAAGGGGAGCTTAGCAGCATCCCAGGGAGCAGTGAATTGTAGTCTGAATTAAGAGAGCCCGTCCTCTCAACTATTCTGCCATTGTTCCCTGGTGTGAGAACTGCTGCAGCTGCCTCAGCTGCCTTTCTCCACTGATCTGACTGCACGCTAAGCCTCCTCAGCTCAGCCTCCATCTCTGATTTCACTGCCTGAGCAGCCTCAAGCTGCTCCAAGACCTTTGCTGCCTTCTTGTTATTCTTTTCAGCCTCCCCATTGACAATACCTAGTCTCATCAGTGCTTCTTGTTCTGCAGCTTTTGCTCTCTCGGCATCCAATATAGCTGCAGCATAATTCTCCTGATGCTCCCTGTCTCTCTTGAGCTCCAATTTTAGCTGTTCATTCTCATCCATAATGCTTTGCAGCTGTGTCTCCTTATCCAAGAGGTTTGATTTCAGTTCTGTGACTTCTGTACTAGCCTTTATCAGCCTCATCTCCGAATCAAAATGGCTTGCCATTGCCTTATCCATTTCATCTTTCAATTCCTCATTCATTCGCGATATGGCTGGGAGTTCCGTTTCCATACTCAAAAGGCGAGCTTTCAAATCTAAAAGCTCTGCAGTTGTTTTCTGTAAGGTTGACTCCAGTTCTAATTCCCTCAGCCCTGCATCAACTTTCACATGCTCAGCCATCTCAATTGCTGATTGGATCTTCATAGTGCTTTCAATTTGTTCCTCATGGAGCTTAGCCTCCGCTGCTTCAAGGGCAGCCCTCAATAGTTCCAATTCAGATTCTGATGCAACAGATTCAGCTTCAGATGGAGGCTTCCCTCCTACTTCATCATCTTCTACAGACAACTGAAGTTCTTTCACCATTTCCTCGAGTGCACTGACTCGAAGTTTAGATTCTTCTAAATTGGAAGTTACAGAGTTCAAGGACTGTTGTAGACCGCATCCCTCGCTACGGAGACTTTCAATGGTGGCATTGGCCATTTCTAACTGCTTCTGGATCTCAGAAGCTGCGAGTTTTGCCTCTTCCTCTACTATCACCTTCTCATTAATCTGGACTTTAAGGTTCTCAACAGTGGATTGGGTAGCTTCCATATCTTGTTTCAAGGCTGCTAATTCAGTTTGTACAGTCTCAGAATCCTCCACCTGGGATGTTTCAGATTTCATAACCATATCAAGCTGTTGTTTAAGCCTTCGAATCTCATTCATCAAAGATTCCAGAGCCACTGAGTCATCTGTATGTTGTTTCTGGAGGGCTTCAAGCTCAGATTGCCATGCCTTATCACGCTCCTGAGAGATTTTGTGAAGCTCTTGACGACGAGCATTCTCTGCGGTGGAGAACTCCGCAAGCTGGTTCTGTGACTCCTCAAGCTTTCCTTCCATGGCTGTGAGCATTTTCATGACCCCTTCAGATTCCAGTTGTACCTGCTTCTTCAATGATTCAGACAAGTTCAACTGATCATTTGTTTTCTTCAATTCATCTCGTAGACGAGTAACCTCATTCTCTAGGTCACTCGGTTTGACCAACAGCTTCTTCTGGAATTCAAAGAGGTTGACAAAATGATGAAAATATAAATAAAGATTCTAACTGTAAAATCTTTATAAGTTTCAGCATAAATTGCCAAAAACTAATGCTAAAATAGCAGTTTTCAAGTCAAATTAATATGGAATTTGTTCCTAGTTGCAGCATATCACAAGCAACAAATCAGTTTAGCAAACTCGCAGTTTGTGCCTACCGCAAACACAGGGCTTTTGGGCGACCGGCGTTCGGTGATCTTGGGACTTCTTTCAGCTGAGCTCTTTCCAGGTGTGAGCTTTGAACTGACTGAATCAGATTCAGAGCCCGCTTTCTTTGATCCGCGAGATGACTTGGGAGTGACGGGAGAAGTCTTCTGAGGAACTTCTGACGATCCATTCCTAGTCAAAGAATAATCGCAGTTCGAAAAAAAAAAGATTTAATTGCGATGGAAACTAGCAATAAGAAGTAACTGCAAAGTTGTTGAACATTTACTTGACTTAAAATTCTTTAAACATGGCCTATGATGAATGTCTAAGACTTTAAGAAGCACAAAATGAAATAACTTTCACTAGTAGAAATTAAAGCTTTCAAAAAATCAATCATGGGTGCAATTACCTGGCACTGTAAGAAGAAAACAACAATAACAACAAGTCTTTATCCCACTATGTGAGATCGGCTACATAATCCTTTTTCTCCATTGTGTCCTACTGAGTGTCATATTTTCATTTAATTCTAATAAAATAAGATCACTCTATAAACAATATGTTCAAGTCTTTTTAGGTCTATCTCTGTCTTTCTTAACACAAGTCAAATCTAAAATATCTACTGTCCCAACCGGATCATCAGGTGGACGTTTAAAGAAACCAAACCATCTAAGACGACTCTCTAATCTTGTCTGCCACTGGAGCTACACCAACCCTTCCAATCAACAAAAATGACTGCTCAAATTCATTTGAAAATATTGAGTTATAGAAGAATTTATTAGACTTATGAGGTTCAATCTACAAAAACTTCCCTCAGCAAAACTAAAATTTCAGTAGGTCCCAGAGATTCATAATTACAAAACAACCAATGCCAAGAAATTCAAGAGCTGAATCAGGTCACGTGAAAGGTTTAGAAAATCCAGGGCTCACAAGGATAACACCTAGATCATCAAACTACTCCGAGATATGATAAGATGAGAAACAAATAAAAAATACATCTTTGGTCCCATCCTTTGCCTTCATTGTCACATGCACCCCATTGGCCATCAACTAATCAAATAAAAATAAGAACTAAACTTTATAAAAATGGCGGAAAATGATTGTAAGAAAAAACCTGGCTTTTGATGTCGGCATCTTTAATCTTCCTATGAATCGTGAAGTCTTCTTCTTCCTCCCACGTTAAAAAACTGCAACAACAAAGAAACAGAAGCGTTCATGGAGACACAGAGATAATGTAGAGTTATAATCTACAACATATATGCAAACCAAAAACCTTTTCTAACTTACAAATAAACAAGACATCCACTGTGAAGCAGCAGAGAACAGAACACAGAAAAAAGAAAAAAAAAGAGTTTTAATCATTCATGGAGCTGGAGTGGGCGATACAGGAAAGAAGAGGAAAAAGTAAATAGATGGAAGTTATAAAATTAGGGTTTTGGGCTACAGCAGTGAACTGGCGGTCACACAAACAAAGCCACTCACTGGTCACTAATGCCGTGACATTGGGGCAACTGGTTTTTTTTAAATCTTTCCATTAACACTAGTTTCTCAAATTTTAAATGCCTGTCTGCAACCCTAATTACCTCAAAATGGACAACGGAGGAGGAAAAAGAATTGAGGATGGACGAAACCAAAGCTCAGATCTTATGGAAAAAGATGAAAAAGAAAAGGAGAATCAATCAACACCATCTGTTTCCAACACTCTTCCTCTCCGTTCTAAACTTTATCTAAACTTGCAAATACAGAAGAAATCGGATTAAGAAAACGGCTTTCAGAACATAACAAAAGATTCATGAGACCGCCATTAAGGAAAACCTCACCCTCTCCTTGTTGACGGCTAATGAGCTCCTCGCCGGCTTGTCAGGCGTTCCCTGTGTCTGCCGTCTTCTTCCTCACGCAGCTCCCGGGGACTTTAACAGGGGAGGAGGGAGAAAGGGGGAATCTTGGGGCAAGATAGAGAAAGAGAGTGGAAAATTTATATTTTTCAGGTAATAGTGAGTGCTTCAGCCTCTGAGCTCTCCCCGCGCGGGTCTATTAATTGAATTGTACAATTTCCCCGTGTCCGGGACGGTGAGTTTTTGTTCACCGGTCAGTGATTTTATCCCGGCTGGGGACGATGGCCATGGCGGACTGGTGCACAGTGTCTTTAAGGTACGAGATATCGTCACCTTCCTTTGAACTTACCTTCGTATCCGTAACGGTCGTGTACACTGTCGTTTAATTGTTCTTAATGGAGCTTGGACCAAATAGAGCAGCGCTCTAAATGAAGCGAATATATATGATAAATTATTTTTGAATCAACTGACATTGGCAGCAAACTACGGCTACTTTGACATCCGCATCTTCACCCGTCCACTGCTGTCGATCACCGTCGGATCATCGATGCCCAACAGTTGCCATCACAACCACTGTCTTCAAGGCGCTGTCATGGGAGTAGCCCAGCTATTGTCTCCAGGTCAAACAGCTAATGTTCGAAGTTGTGTAGGACCACCTTCTAAGTCGAACTGACAACTCCATTATCATCGAGTTGTTGTTGTTACCGCTGGTGGACTGCCATTGCCCGGGAGCCACCATCACCGTCATCATACCACTAATACACAGATACCACGATCGTCGGTCAATTTTTGCTCGGGCACCGTCGTTAGGGTGACCTTCGCTAGACGTTGCAAACCGATCGCTACAGCTTCCACCTTCATAAGGTGGATATTTAGCCACCGTCTTCGTGTCAGAACCATGATGTTAGGCCATTGCCATCTGATGGCTCTGTCGGTGTGACCATGCCCCATTCCATGGGTTAGGAGGCTCGTTTCGGCACACTAGTCCAACATCATGGGCCCAACCAGCCTACTCTCCGGTCAGCACACTCCAGCCCTCTCTGGCTCGGTGTGTCGCAAACATGTCGCACCGCTCAGCCTCCGACCCATCGACTCGTAATTCGTGCTCTCCCTCCACATCAAGCAGTCAGACTTTGCCTACCTCTAATCACCACGGGCGCCCTAAAAATTCAAAATTTTCAAATTTCTTAGAATTTTTGCCCAATTTTTTTATGTTGAGAATCTTCAGACGAATAAGAGAAATCAACCAAAAATTAGGAGCAACTAATATATCATCAACAAATGTCATCATTTGACATGAATCTAAAAGCATTTGACACAGATCTCAAGGCATTTTTGGAGATTAAAATATTCCAATTCAAATTAAAAATCATCTAGAGCTTCAATTTCAACAAACTTATAGGCAAACTGACGACGCAAACCCAATGCCACTAAATTTGATCTAATTTGAGTCAAATCAAGTCATTAAATCACTTTTAGAAGCTTTGGATGGTTAATTAGAAGGTCAAACAAATCCAAAATCTGACAAGCTTATGGTCAAATTAGTGTCTTGATGAGAAGAGTCTAGCGTGTCCATAATCACTCAGTTCTGACATCATTAAGACACTTAATTGTCCATAAAATGTTATCTGATTAAGGAAATCACTCCTGGAAGTTCGATGGAGTGGTTCGAATTCCTACCTTATTTACAGGGGATGTCACTACTATAATAAAAAAAGTAGATCCTACTCCCTTCATGAAAGAGAGAGGGAGACCTGGACCTGAAGAAGAGAAGAAGATGTCAATTTCAAGAGTTGTTATTGACTTAAGAACCAACGATCATTTTCTATCTTCATAGTTGTTGACCACCAGTGATCATTGCTCATCGGTTATTATGAACCACTATCAGTCGTCCTCTGCTCGTTACTATTGGTGGACTTTGCGGAGTTACAACATACATTGTAATGAAGCACTCTATGGATTAATGACATAATTGCAGAGCAACAAAGCATCGTGTGGAGCAATGATCTACGTTGCAGAGTAACAAAGCCCTCTATAAAGTAATGCAATGTCTAAATATTGTGCAACAACGTACTCCGATTGTGGCGTGCCAAAGTTACAGTGATAACTCCTTGTAATAACTGCTTGCAACCACAAAACTAAGAATACAACGACCATCTCTAGACTCCTGAAGTTTTCTCTTTACATTGCATATCAACAAGTGATGTCTCTAATGTAGTGGCCTACAGATATAGTAGCAACTACAACCTCTGATGGACAACTAACACTCTTGCATGTTGGCACTACGACATATATGACCAACTATGACCTACGTCACTCACAACTCATGCAATTCCTAACTCCAGCATATGTCACCTACAAATGTTATCACAATTCACCACTACAGTCTATGTGGCCAACTGCCTACGTGGATCACAACTAATGTATCTCATATCTTTGATTTCTATGGTCTATCAGCATTATTGTAGCCCATCACTATGGTTTATGTGATAAACTATGATTTACTTGGCTCACAACTCATATAGCTCCTAACTCTGACCTTAGTGGCTAATTGATGCTCTTGCAACTCATTACTATGACTTTCGTGACCGACTACGACCTACATGACTGACAACTCATACAACTCATACAACTCCTAACTCTGACCTCTATGACCTATGAGCATTATCGCAAGCTTTCAGTCATTGCTTATGTGACCAACTACAACCAACGTGCTTCACAGCTTATTTAGCTCCCAACTCTATCTTATGTGGTTTACGGACGTTTTCGTAGCTCACCATTGCAGCACATGTGACTAAATATAGTGTATGTTCCTCACAACTCATGCAACTAACTCTGGCCTATGTGGTCTACATATTTATTGTAGCTCGCCACTACGACCTATGTGACCGAATACAATGTCTATAAGGTCCACATCTCATACCTCTCCTAACTCCCACCTCTGATACCTATGAACGTTATTGTAGCTCACCAATACAGCCTATGTGACCAACTACAGTCTATATGGCTCACAACTCATGTAACTCCTAACTCTAGTCTTTATGACTTACAAATGTTATGACAGATTTCCACTATGACATATGTGACCAACAATGACCTAGGTGGCTCATAATTCATGGAGCTTCGAACTCCACCTTCTGTAACCTACAGATTTTATGTCAGTTCAATATTATGGTCTATGTTACCAACTACGACATGACTGGCTCATAACTCTTGTAGCTCTCAACTTCAACCTCTGTGGCTTAAGGATAATAGCTCACCATTACAACCAATTTGATCAACTACGATATATGTGGTTCACGACTCATGCAACTCCTAATTTCAGCCTATGTGGCATACAAGTGTTATTGTTCACCACCATGGCTTATGTAACCAATTACAACCTACTGTCTCATAGCTCATGGATCTCCCAACTTCAGCCTTCGTGGCCTACGGGTATTATTATAGCATACCACTATAGTTTATGTGATCAACTACAATATACGTGGCTCACATCTCATGTAACTCCCAACTATGGCTTATGTAAGCAGTTACAATTTACATGGCTCCCAACTTATGCCGCTCCTAACTTCAGTCTCTATGGCCTACGGATGTTATCGTAGCTTCTTATTATGGCCTATATGGCGAACTGATATCATTACACCCCTTCACTATAGCCCTTATAGCCACTTAATGCTAATTCAACTCACCACCATGACCTACATGGCCAACTACTATCATTTCAACCTTCCATTATAGCATTTATGGCCAACAAATGCTTACGAAGCTACCAGCAATAGCCTATATGACCAATTACTATTGTGACTTTCAACCATTGCCTATATGTCAAGATGAGGTTATTATAACCACCTTCTATAATATTTGTGACTAACCATTATTTTCATAAATAACAATAAAAGCCATTGCAACTATCACTATTATTGTCAAGAACTACATTTGTTATAACCCACATAAGATTATGAAAGTCAAACCACTATTGTACTTCCACAATTTCATCTTTCCTAATTCATGATAAGAGTGGACCTATGTACTCACAATTAATAGGGGATTTCTTTGATTGGGTCAGACCAAATGATTTTTTCCCCTCCAGAGTTTTCTACGTAAAAAATGGGTCGTCTCCTCCTATTTTTCTCTATTATGCGTCTGTTGAATTTTCATACAAGACTAAGACGCTAATTTATTACTCCACGATAGCGAATCTTTTGGCACACAACAACAATTAATATCTTCGCTAACATAAATTTTTATGCTTATACTAATTATATACCTAGATGCACATTTTGAAAGTTGACAAGACTGATACAATCATGCAAGTAGGTTCAGGGTTAGGGTTAGGATTATTCAGACCATAATTACGCACTCATACCTGCATGATAAATAACGAACATCACATCCAAGCATGCACATAAGACAAAATGTTGATGACTTGTGGAGGTTTCTTGATTTGCAATGTAAGCAACACATTTCATTCCTCATGCTTTTGATTAAGGATCCAACCAAAGGGACATGATTTAATGATGGTAGTTGGAAAAGAAGAAGAAACCATTTACTAAAAGGAGAAGATTGCAGTTGTTAAAGTTGAGCCAAAAAAATATAAAAGTTTTCTTTCAATTACATTCATACCATAAAATTCCTAAGTATTTACATATCTAACTCCATACATAACACTCAAATACTTAATTTTACACTAAAATATCACTATTTCTATCTATTTTAAAGTGAAATATGAACTTTCCATACATGCTATAGGAAGTCAAAAGGTTGTAAATGTAAATACCAAACTTGAATGTCTGTTGTGTAAATACATATGTGCTACTTATGCAAAATTTTCATTTATTGATTTATTTTTTGGGTTAAGACTGCAAATTCAAAAACTATGTGCCATTTTACTGGTTTATACCATAAATACTTTGTATTTTATGAAAGAAATAGATTAAAAAAAATTTAATTATTATTTTCCAAAAGTAAGAAGAATTAAAAGAGTAGTTTGTTATGTTGAGTTGTGATCATGACAACTAGGGGTTTATTGAGACGAGCTGCTCTTTAATGAGCTCACAAGTGAGCTCTATTAGCTTATCATTAGTTATTTCGATGTATTTTCTAATGAGATAATGTTGTATCATCCTCCTCTGGCCACCAATATCTTCTTCGGTGAGTTCACGAAAAAATTGAAATTTTAATTCGAGCTCGTGAGTTTACTATTATCACTACGAGCCGAGTTTGAGCTCATAATTTGAAAAATAAGCCGAGCTCGAGCTTAACATG